TACTGGAAATGTGATGATGGGCGATGTAGTTGCATCTCCCAACGCTCTAAATAACAGAAAAACAACTGCCCCCAGAGACCATACAGGGCTGACGCTCTTAGGGAACCACCCACGTGCGACAGGGAACCTCCTAGGAGTGGCCGAGGCCACTTGGGACCCACCCAGGGGCAGTAGAGGCCCCAGGGACCCACCCAGAGGCAGCCAGGAACGTAGATCCTATCCAGATAAGGTGGTGCCCCCTGGGACCCTCCAGGTGCGTCAGTGACCCTTCCAAAGGCGGCTGGGATGGGTCCCTGGGACCTCTGCTACCCCTGGGTGGGTCCCAAGGGCCCCAGCCACTCCTAGGATGTTCCCTGCCGCACCTTGGAGGTTCCCTGAGAGCGCCTGCCCTGTATGGTCTCTGGGGGCAGTTGTTTTTGTGTTATTTATAATGCTGGGAGATGCAACTACATCGCCATTATCACATTTCCAGTATTATAGCATCCTTAACAACGGAATGGAGAATAATATCCAACAGGAAAACATAAGTTGGGGTGTTGTGCTGACTGACTGCTCTCTTTTCCTATTGGCTGTAATTTGGTGGGTAGATATTTTAGTCCACCAATCACATTTAAGGAACTGATGGACATATAAAATATATACCAAGGCACGACCAGGTATGCTATAGGGCCCCTGGACGTGCGGCCCCTGGAATGTCCCAAGGGCCCTCATCACCCCTAGGTGGTCCCAGGGCCCCCTCCCGTCCCTAGGCGTGTCTTAGCGGGTCCCGCCGACCCTGGGAGGGTCCCTAGGGGCGCTGTCACACCTGGAAAGGAACTGCGGGCCTCCACCGCCCCAGGGAGGATCCTTAGTACCCTCGCCGCTTCTGGGAAGGTAGCAGGGGCCCTGCCGCCCCTATGAGGGTTCCTGGGGTCCCCGCAATCCATGTGATGATTTCAGGGGGCGCTGCCGTCCCTGGGAGGGTCCAATGAGTCCCAACCGCCTTTGGAAGGGTCGCCGACGCACCTGGGAAGGTCGCAGGGGGGCACCACCTTACCTGGGTGAGAAGCAGTTCACCAGCTGCCTCTGGGATGGGTCCCTGGGACCTCTGCTACCCCTGGGTGAGTCCCAAGTGGCCCCAGCCACTCCTAGGATGTTCCCTGCCGCACCTTGGAGGTTCCCTGAGAGCGCCTGCCCTGTATGGTCTCTGGGGGCAGTTGTTTTTGTGTTATTTATAATGCTGGGTGATGCAACTACATCGCCATTATCACATTTCCAGTATTATAGCATCCTTAACAACGGAATGGAGAATAATATCCAACAGGAAAACATAAGTTGGGGTGTTGTGCTGACTGACTGCTATCTTTTCCTATTGGCTGTAATTTGGTGGGTAGATATTTTAGTCCACCAATCACATTTAAGGAACTGATGGACGTATAAAATATATACCTAGGCACAACCAGGTATGCTATAGGGCCCCTGGACGTGCAGCCCCTGTAGTGTCCCAAGGGGCCCCACTGCTCCTGGAGGGTCCCAGGGCCCCCTTTCGTCCCTGGGAGTGTCTCAGTGGGTCCCGCCTACCCTAGGAGGGTCCCTAGGGGCGCTGTCACACCTGGAAAGGTACTGCGGGCCTCCACCACCCCTGCGAGGGTCCTTAGTACAATCGTCGCTTCTCGGAGGGTTGCAGAGGCCCTGCCGCCCCTATGAGGGTTCCTGGGGCCCCCGCAATCCATGCAATGATTCTAGGGGGGGCCGACGTCCATGGGAGGGTCCAATGAGTTCCAGCCGCCTTTGGAAGGGTCACCGACGCACCTGGAGGGCCCCAGGGGCACCACCTTATCTGGATAGGATCCACGTTCCTGGCTGCCTCTGGGTGGGTCCCTGGGGCCTCTACTGCCCCTGGGTCGGTCCCAAGTGGCCCCGGCCACTCCTAGGAGGTTCCCTGTCGCACGTGGGTGGTTCCCTAAGAGCGTCAGCCCTGTATGGTCTCTGGGGGCAGTTGTTTATCTGTTATTTAGAGCGTTGGGAGATGCAACTACATCGCCCATCATCACATTTCCAGTATTATCGCATACTTAAAAACGGAATGGAGAATAATATTCAACAGGAAAACATAAGTTGGGGTGTTGTGCTGACTGACTGCTCTCTTCTCCTATTGGCTGTAATTTGGTGGGTAGATATTTTAGTCCACCAATCACATTTAAGGAACTGATGGACATATAAAATATGTACAAAGGCACGACCAGGTATGCTATAGGGCCCCTTGAAGTGCGGCCCCTGGAATGTCCCAAGGGCCCTCACCACCCCTAGGTGGTCCGAGGGCCCCCTTCCGTCCCTAAGCGTGTCTTAGCGGGTCCCGTCGACCCTGGGAGGGTCCCTAGGGGCGCTGTCACACCTGGAAAGGAACTGCGGGCCTCCACCGCCCCTGGAAGGATCCTTAGTACCCTCGCCACATCTGGGAGGGTTGCAGGGGCCCTACCGCCTCTATGAGGGTTCCTGGGGTCCTCGCAATCCATGCGATGATTTCAGGGGGCGCTGCCGTCCCTGGGAGGGTCCAATGAGTCCCAGCCGCCTTTGGAAGGGTCCCCAACGCACCTGGGAGGGTCGCAGGGGGGCACCACCTTACCTGGGTGAGAACCAGGTCACCAGCTGCCTCTGGGATGGGTCCCTGGGACCTCTGCTACCCCTGGGTGGGTCCCAAGGGCCCCAGCCACTCCTAGGATGTTTCCTGCCGCACCTTGGAGGTTCCCTGAGAGCGCCTGCCCTGTATGGTCACTGGGGGCAGTTGTTTTTGTGTTATTTATAATGCTGGGAGATGCAACTACATCGCCATTATCACATTTCCAGTATTATCGCTTCCTTAACAACGGAATGGAGAATAGTATCCAACAGGAAAACATAAGTTGGGGTGTTGTGCTGACTGACTGCTCTCTTCTCCTATTGGCTGTAATTTGGTGGGTAGATATTTTAGTCCACCAATCACATTTAAGGAACTGATGGACGTATAAAATATATACCTAGGCACAACCAGGTATGCTATAGGGCCCCTGGACGTGCAGCCCCAGTAGTGTCCCAAGGGGCCCCACTGCTCCTGGAGGGTTCCAGGACCCCCTTTCGTCCCTGGGAGTGTCTCAGTGGGTCCCGCCTACCCTAGGAGGGTCCCTAGCGGCGCTGTCACACCTGGAAAGGTACTGCGGGCCTCCACCGCCCCTGGGAGGATCCTTAGTACAATCGTCGCTTGTCGGAGGGTTGCAGAGGCCCTGCCGCCCCTATGAGGGTTCCTGGGGCCCCTGCAATCCATGCAATGATAATAGGGGGGGGGGGGCCGCCGTCCATGGGAGGGTCCAATGAGTCCCAGCCGCCTTTGGAAGGGTCACCGACGCACCTGGAGGGTCCCAGGGGCCACCACCTTATCTGGATAGGATCCACGTTCCTGGCTGCCTCTGGGTGGGTCCCTGGGGCCTCTACTGCCCCTGGGTGGGTCCCAAGTGGCCCCGGCCACTCCTAGGAGGTTCCCTGTCGCACGTGGGTGGTTCCCTAAGAGCATCAGCCCTGTATGGTCTCTGCGGGCAGTTGTTTTTCTGTTATTTAGAGCGTTGGGAGATGCAACTACATCGCCCATCATCATATTTCCAGTATTATCGCATACTTAAAAACGGAATGGAGAATAATATCCAACAGGAAAACATGAGTTGGGGTGTTGTGCTGACTGACTGCTCTCTTCTCCTATTGGCTGTAATTTGGTGGGTAGATATTTTTGTCCACCAATCACATTTAGGGAACTGATTGACATATACAATATGTACCAAGGCACGACCAGGTATGCTATAGGGCCCCTTGAAGTGCGGCCCCTGGAATGTCCCAAGGGCCCTCACCACCCCTAGGTGGTCCCAGGGCCCCCTCCCGTCCCTAGCCGTGTCTTAGCGGGTCCTGCCGACCCTGGGAGGTTCCCTAGGGGCGCTGTCACACCTGGAAAGGAACTGCGGGCCTCCACCGCCACTGGGAGGATCCTTAGTACAATCGTCGCTTCTCGGAGGGTTGCAGAGGCCCTGCCGCCCCTATGAGGGTTCCTGGGGCCCCCGCAATCCATGCAATGATTCTAGGGGGGGCCGACGTCCATGGGAGGGTCCAATGAGTCCCAGCCGCCTTTGGAAGGGTCACCGACGCACCTGGAGGGTCCCAGGGGCCACCACCTTATCTGGATAGGATCCACGTTCCTAGCTGCCTCTGTGTGGGTCCCTGGGGCCTCTACTGCCCCTGGGTCGGTCCCAAGTGGCCCCGGCCACTCCTAGGAGGTTCCCTGTTGCACGTGGGTGGTTCCCTAAGAGCGTCAGCCCTGTAAGGGCCCTAAAGGTGTTTGGTTTTTCTCTTGATATTTTTATAACGCTGGGAGATGCAACTACATCGCCCATCATCACATTTCCAGTATTATCGCATACTTAAAAACGGAATGGAGAATAATATCCAACAGGAAAACATAAGTTGGGGTGTTGTGCTGACTGACTGCTCTCTTCTCCTATTGGCTGTAATTTGGTGGGTAGATATTTTAGTCCACCAATCACATTTAAGGAACTGATGGACGTATAAAATATATACCTAGGCACAACCAGGTATGCTATAGGGCCCCTGGACGTGCAGCCCCTGTAGTGTCCCAAGGGGCCCCACTGCTCCTGGAGGGTCCCAGGGCCCCCTCTCGTCCCTGGGAGTGTCTCAGTGGGTCCCGCCTACCCTAGAAGGGTCCCTAGGGGCGCTGTCACACCTGGAAAGGTACTGCGGGCCTCCACCGCCCCTGGGAGGGTCCTTAGTACAATCGTCGCTTCTCGGAGGTGTTGCAGGGGCCCTGCCGCCCCTATGAGGTTTCCTGGGGCCCCCGCAATCCATGCGATGATTCCAGTGGGGGCCGCCGTCCATGGGAGGGTCCAATGAGTCCCAGCCACCTTTGGAAGGGTCACCGACGCACCTGGAGGGTCCAAGGGGGCACCACCTTATCTGGATAAGACCAAGGTCCCTGGCTGCCTCTGGGTGGGTCCCTCGGGCCTCTACTGCTCCTGGGTCGGTCCCAAGTGGCCCCGGCCACTCCTAGGAGGTTCCCTGTTGCACGTGGGTGGTTCCCTAAGAGCGTCAGCCCTGTATGGTCTCTGGGGGCAGTTGTTTTTCTGTTATTTAGAGCGCTGGGAGATGCAACTACATCGCCCATCATCATATTTCCAGTATTATCGCATACTTAAAAACGGAATGGAGAATAATATCCAACAGGAAAACATAAGTTGGGGTGTTGTGCTGACTGACTGCTCTCTTCTCCTATTGGCTGTAATTTGGTGGGTAGATATTTTAGTCCACCAATCACATTTAAGGAACTGATTGACATATAAAATATGTACCAAGGCACGACCAGGTATGCTATAGGGCCCCTTGAAGTGCGGCCCCTGGAATGTCCCAAGGGCCCTCACCACCCCTAGGTGGTCCCAGGGCCCCCTCCCGTCCCTAGCCGTGTCTCAGCGGGTCCCGCCGACCCTGGGAGGTTCCCTAGGGGCGCGGTCACACCTGGAAAGGTACTGTGGGCCTCCACCGCCCCTGGGAGTATCCTTAGTACCCTCGCCGCTTCTGGGAGGGTTGCAGGGGCCCTGCCGCCCCTATGAGGGTTCCTGGGGCCCCCGCAATCCATGTGATGATTTCAGGGGGCGCTGCCGTCCCTGGGAGGGTCCAATGAGTCCAAGCCCCCCTTGGAAGGGTCCCCGATGCACCTGGGAGGGTCGCAGGGGGCACCACCTTACCTGGGTGAGAACCAGGTCACCAGCTGCCTCTGGGATGGGTCCATGGGGCCTCTGCTGCCCCTAGGTGGGTCCCAATGGCCCCAGCCACTACTTGGATGTTCCCTGCCGCACCTTGGAGGTTCCCTGAGAGCGCCAGCCCTGTATGGTCTCTGGGGGCAGTTGTTTTTCTGTTATTTAGAGCGTTGGGAGATGCAACTACATCGCCCATCATCACATTTCCAGTATTATCGCATACTTAAAAACGGAATGGAGAATAATATCCAACAGGAAAACATAAGTTGGGGTGTTGTGCTGACTGACTGCTCTCTTCTCCTATTGGCTGTAATTTGGTGGGTAGATATTTTAGTCCACCAATCACATTTAAGGAACTGATGGACGTATAAAATATATACCTAGGCACAACCAGGTATGCTATAGGGCCCTTGGACGTGCAGCCCCTGTAGTGTCCCAAGGGGCCCCACTGCTCCTGGAGGGTCCCAGGGCCCCCTCTCGTCCCTGGGAGTGTCTCAGTGGGTCCCGCCTACCCTAGGAGGGTCCCTAGGGGCGCTGTCACACCTGGAAAGGTACTGCGGGCCTCCACCGCCCCTGGGAGGGTCCTTAGTACAATCGTCGCTTCTCGGAGGTGTTGCAGGGGCCCTGCCGCCCCTATGAGGTTTCCTGGGGCCCCCGCAATCCATGCGATGATTCCAGAGGGGGCCGCCGTCCATGGGAGGGTCCAATGAGTCCCAGCCACCTTTGGAAGGGTCACCGACGCACCTGGAGGGTCCCAGGGGGCACCACCTTATCTGGATAAGACCAAGGTCCCTGGCTGCCTCTGGGTGGGTCCCTCGGGCCTCTGCTGCCCCTAGGCGGGTCCCAAGTGGCTCCGGCCACTTCTAGGAGGTTCCCTGTCGCACGTGGGTGGTTCCCTAAGAGCGTCAGCCCTGTATGGTCTCTGGGGGCAGTTGTTTTTCTGTTATTTAGAGCGTTGGGAGATGCAACTACATCGCCCATCATCACATTTCCAGTATTATCGCATACTTAAAAACGGAATGGAGAATAATATCCAACAGGAAAACATAAGTTGGGGTGTTGTGCTGACTGACTGCTCTCTTCTCCTATTGGCTGAAATTTGGTGGGTAGATATTTTAGTCCACCAATCACATTTAAGGAACTGATGGACATATAAAATATGTACCAAGGCACGACCATGTATGCTATAGGGCTCCTTGAAGTGCGGCCCCAGATATGTCCCAAGGGCCCTCATCACCCCTAGGTGGTCCCAGGGCCCCCTCCCGTCCCTAGGCGTGTCTTAGCGGGTCCCGCCGACCCTGGGAGGGTCCCTAGGGGCGCTGTCACACCTGGAAAGGAACTGCGGGCCTCCACCGCCACTGGGAGGATCCTTAGTACCCTCGCCGCTTCTGGGAGGGTAGCAGAGGCCCTGCCGCCCCTATGAGGGTTCCTAGGGTCCCCGCAATCCATGTGATGATTTCAGGGGGCGCTGCCGTCCCTAGGAGGGTCCAATGAGTCCAAGCCGCCCCTGGAAGGGTCCCCGATGCACCTGGGAGGGTCGCAGGGGGCACCACCTTACCTGGGTGAGAACCAGGTCACCAGCTGCCTCTGGGATGGGTCCATGGGGCCTCTGCTGCCCTTGGGTGGGTCCCAATGGCCCCAGCCACTACTTGGATGTTCCCTGCCGCACCTTGGAGGTTCCCCGAGAGCGCCAGCCCTGTATGGTCTCTGGGGGAACTTGTTTTTGTGTTATTTATAACGCTGGGAGATGCAACTACATCGCCCATCATCACATTTCCAGTATTATCGCATACTTAAAAACGGAATGGAGAATAATATCCAACAGGAAAACATAAGTTGGGGTGTTGTGCTGACTGACTGCTCTCTTCTCCTATTGGCTGAAATTTGGTGGGTAGATATTTTAGTCCACCAATCACATTTAAGGAACTGATGGACATATAAAATATGTACCAAGGCACGACCAGGTATACTATAGGGCCCCTTGAAGTGCGGCCCCTGATATGTCCCAAGGGCCCTCATCACCCCTAGGTGGTCCCAGGGCCCCCTCCCGTCCCTAGGCGTGTCTTAGCGGGTCCCGCCGACCCTGGGAGGGTCCCTAGGGGCGCTGTCACACCTGGAAAGGAACTGCGGGCCTCCACCGCCACTGGGAGGATCCTTAGTACCCTCGCCGCTTCTGGGAGGGTAGCAGGGGCCCTGCCGCCCCTATGAGGGTTCCTAGGGTCCCCGCAATCCATGTGATGATTTCAGGGGGCGCTGCCGTCCCTAGGAGGGTCCAATGAGTCCAAGCCGCCATTGGAAGGGTCCCCGATGCACCTGGGAGGGTCGCAGGGGGCACCACCTTACCTGGGTGAGAACCAGGTCACCAGCTGCCTCTGGGATGGGTCCATGGGGCCTCTGCTGCCCTTGGGTGGGTCCCAATGGCCCCAGCCACTACTTGGATGTTCCCTGCCGCACCTTGGAGGTTCCCCGAGAGCGCCAGCCCTGTATGGTCTCTGGGGGAACTTGTTTTTGTGTTATTTATAACGCTGGGAGATGCAACTACATCGCCCATCATCGCATTTCCAGTATTATCGCATACTTAAAAACGGAATGGAGAATAATATCCAACAGGAAAACATAAGTTGGGGTGTTGTGCTGACTGACTGCTCTCTTCTCCTATTGGCTGTAATTTGGTGGGTAGATATTTTAGTCCACCAATCACATTTAAGGAACTGATGGACGTATAAAATATATACCTAGGCACAACAAGGTATGCTATAGGGCCCCTAGACGTGCAGCCCCTGTAGTGTCCCAAGGAGCCCCACTGCTCCTGGAGGGTCCCAGGGCCCCCTCTCGTCCCTGGGAGTGTCTCAGTGGGTCCCGCCTACCCTAGGAGGGTCCCTAGGGGCGCTGTCACACCTGGAAAGGTACTGCGGGCCTCCACCGCCCCTGGGAGGGTCCTTAGTACAATCGTCGCTTCTCGGAGATGTTGCAAGGGCCCTGCCGCCCCTATGAGGTTTCCTGGGGCCCCCGCAATCCATGCGATGATTCAAGGGGAGGCCGCCGTCCATGGGAGGGTCCAATGAGTCCCAGCCGCCTTTGGAAGGGTCACCGACGCACCTGGAGGGTCCCAGGGGGCATCACCTTATCTGGATAGGACCAACGTCCCTGGCTGCCTCTGGGTGGGTCCATGGGGCCTCTGCTGCCCCTGGGTGGGTCCCAAGTGGCCCTGGCCACTCCTAAGAGGTTCCCTGTCGCACGTGGGTGGTTCCCTAAGAGCGTCAGCCCTATATGGTCTCTGGGGGCAGTTGTTTTTCTGTTATTTAGAGCGCTGGGAGATGCAACTACATCGCCCATCATCACATTTCCCGTATTATTGCATACTTAAAAACGGAATGGAGAATAATATCCAACAGGAAAACATAAGTTGGGGTGTTGTGCTGACTGACTGCTCTCTTCTCCTATTGGCTGTAATTTGGTGGGTAGATATTTTAGTCCACCAATCACATTTAAGGAACTGATGGACGTATAAAATATGTACCAAGGCACAACCAGGTATGCTATAGGGCCCCTGGAATGTCCCAAGGGCCCCCACCACCCCTAGGTTGTCCCATGGCCCCCTCCCGTCCCTGGGAGTGTCTTAGCGGGTCCCGCCTACCCTGGGCGGGTCCCTAGGGGCGCGGTCACACCTGGAAAGGTACTGTGGGCCTCCACCGCCCCTGGGAGTATCCTTAGTACCCTCGCCGCTTCTGGGAGGGTTGCAGGGGCTCTGCCGCCCCTATGAGGGTTCCTGGGGCCCCCGCAATCCATGTGATGATTTCAGGGGGCGCTGCCGTCCCTGGGAGGGTCCAATGAGTCCAAGCCGCCCTTGGAAGGGTCCCCGATGCACCTGGGAGGGTCGCAGGGGGCACCACCTTATCTTGGGGTAGAGAACTTGCACACAGCCGCTCAGATTATCTATGGCCTCTAGCGTCTCTCTAGGTAAACCTAATGGTTTCAGCCACTACTTGATGTTCCTCGTCATATTCTTGGAGGTTCCTCTGAGATGCCTAGTCTTGTATGTGGCCTCAGAACTTTGTTTTAAAGATGACAGCTTGGGAGATGCAAATACATGGCCATCATCACATTTCTGTATTATCAGCATACTTTAAAACGGAATAGGAGAATAATATCCACAGGAAACATGGTTAAAAGAAGGACTGGACTGCCTTTCCTCCTATTGGTTGTAATTTGTAGATATTTTAGTCCACCAATCACATTTAAGGAACTGATGGACGTATAAAATATATACCAAGGCACAACAAGGTATGCTATAGGGCCCCTGGACGTGCAGCCCCTGTAGTGTCCCAAGGAGCCCCACTGCTCCTGGAGGGTCTCAGGGCCCCCTCTCGTCCCTGGGAGTGTCTCAGTGGGTCCCGCCTACCCTAGGAGGGTCCCTAGGGGCGCTGTCACACCTGGAAAGGTACTGCGGGCCTCCACCGCCCCTGGGAGGGTCCTTAGTACAATCGTCGCTTCTCGGAGATGTTGCAGGGGCCCTGCCGCCCCTATGAGGTTTCCTGGGGCCCCCGCAATCCATGCGATGATTCCAGTGGGGGCCGCCGTCCATGGGAGGGTCCAATGAGTCCCAGCCACCTTTGGAAGGGTTACCGATGCACCTGGAGGGTCCCAGGGGGCACCACCTTATCTGGATAAGACCAAGGTCCCTGGCTGCCTCTGGGTGGGTCCATGGGGCCTCTGCTGCCCCTAGGCGGGTCCCAAGTGGCTCCGGCCACTCCTAGGAGGTTGCCTGTCGCACGTGGGTGGTCCCCTAAGAGCGTCAGCCCTGTATGGTCTCTGGGGGCAGTTGTTTTTCTGTTATTTAGAGCGTTGGGAGATGCAACTACATCGCCCATCATCACATTTCCAGTATTATCGCATACTTAAAAACGGAATGGAGAATAATATCCAACAGGAAAACATAAGTTGGGGTGTTGTGCTGACTGACTGCTCTCTTCTCCTATTGGCTGTAATTTGGTGGGTAGATATTTTAGTCCACCAATCACATTTAAGGAACTGATGGACGTATAAAATATGTACCAAGGCACAACCAGGTATGCTATAGGGCCCCTGGAATGTCCCAAGGGCCCCCACCACCCCTAGGTGGTCCCAGGGCCCCCTCCCGTTCCTGGGAGTGTCTTAGCGGGTCCCGCCGACCCTGGGAGGGTCCCTAGGGGCGCGGTCACACCTGGAAAGGTACTGTGGGCCTCCACCGCCCCTGGGAGTATCCTTAGTACCCTCGCCGCTTCTGGGAGGGTTGCAGGGGCCCTGCCGCCCCTATGAAGGTTCCTGGGGCCCCCGCAATCCATGTGATGATTTCAGGGGGCGCTGCCGTCCCTGGGAGGATCCAATGAGTCCAAGCAGCCCTTGGAAGGGTCCCCGATGCACCTGGGAGGGTCGCAGGGGGCACCACCTTACCTGGGTGAGAACCAGGTCACCAGCTGCCTCTGGGATGGGTCCATGGGGCCTCTGCTGCCCCTGGGTGGGTCCCAATGGCCCCAGCCACTACTTGGATGTTCCCTGCCGCACCTTGGAGGCTCCCTGAGAGCGCCAGCCCTGTATGGTCTCTGGGGGAACTTGTTTTTGTGTTATTTATAATGCTGGGAGATGCAAATACATCGCCCATCATCACATTTCCAGTATTATCGCATACTTATAAACGGAATGGAGAATAATATCCAACAGGAAAACATAAGTTGGGGTGTTGTGCTGACTGACTGCCCTCTTCTCCTATTGGCTGTAATTTGGTGGGTAGATATTTTAGTCCACCAATCACATTTAAGGAACTGATGGACGTATAAAATATATACCTAGGCACAACCAGGTATGCTATAGGGCCCCTGGACGTGCAGCCCCTGTAGTGTCCCAAGGGGCCCCACTGCTCCTGGAGGGTCCCACGGCCCCCTCTCGTCCCTGGGAGTGTCTCAGTGGGTCCCGCCTACCCTAGAAGGGTCCCTAGGGGCGTTGTCACACCTGGAAAGGTACTGCGGGCCTCCACCGCCCCTGGGAGGGTCCGTAGTACAATCGTCGCTTCTCGGAGGTGTTGCAGGGGCCCTGCCGCCCCTATGAGGTTTCCTGGGGCCCCCGCAATCCATGCGATGATTCCAGTGGGGGCCGCCGTCCATGGGAGGGTCCAATGAGTCCCAGCCACCTTTGGAAGGGTCACCGACGCACCTGGAGGGTCCCAGGGGGCACCACCTTATCTGGATAAGACCAAGGTCCCTGGCTGCCTCTGGGTGGGTCCCTCGGGCCTCTGCTGCCCCTAGGCGGGTCCCAAGTGGCTCCGGCCACTCCTAGGAGGTTCCCTGTCGCACGTGGGTGGTTCCCTAAGAGCGTCAGCCCTGTATGGTCTCTGGGGGCAGTTGTTTTTCTGTTATTTAGAGCGTTGGGAGATGCAACTACATCGCCCATCATCACATTTCCAGTATTATCGCATACTTAAAAACGGAATGGAGAATAATATCCAACAGGAAAACATAAGTTGGGGTGTTGTGCTGACTGACTGCTCTCTTCTCCTATTGGCTGTAATTTAGTGGGTAGATATTTTAGTCCACCAATCACATTTAAGGAACTGATGGACATATAAAATATGTACCAAGGCACGACCAGGTATGCTATAGGGCCCCTTGAAGTGCGGCCCCTGGAATGTCCCAAGGGCCCTCATCACCCCTAGGTGGTCCCAGGGCCTCCTCCCGTCCCTAGGCGTGTCTTAGCGGGTCCCGCCGACCCTGGGAGGGTCCCTAGGGGCGCTGTCACACCTGGAAAGGAACTGCGGGCCTCCACCGCCCCTGGGAGGATCCTTAGTACCCTCGCCGCTTCTGGGAGGGTTGCAGGGGCCCTGCCGCCCCTATGAGGGTTCCTGGGGTCCCCGCAATCCATGTGATGATTTCAGGGGGCGCTGCCGTCCCTGGGAGGGTCCAATGAGTCCCAGCCGCCTTTGGAAGGGTCCCCGACGCAACTGGGAGGGTCGCAGGGGGGCACCACCTTACCTGGGTGAGAACCAGGTCACCAGCTGCCTCTGGGATGGGTCCCTGGGACCTCTGCTACCCCTGGGTGAGTCCCAAGGGCCCCAGCCACTCCTAGGATGTTCCCTGCCGCACCTTGGAGGTTCCCTGAGAGCGCCTGCCCTGTATGGTCTCTGGGGGCAGTTGTTTTTGTGTTATTTATAATGCTGGGAGATGCAACTACATCGCCATTATCACATTTCCAGTATTATAGCATCCTTAACAACGGAATGGAGAATAATATCCAACAGGAAAACATAAGTTGGGGTGTTGTGCTGACTGACTGCTCTCTTTTCCTATTGGCTGTAATTTGGTGGGTAGATATTTTAGTCCACCAATCACTTTTAAGGAACTGATGGACGTATAAAATATATACCTAGGCACAACCAGGTATGCTATAGGGCCCCCGGACGTGCAGCCCCTGTAGTGTCCCAAGGGGCCCCACTGCTCCTGGAGGGTTCCAGGACCCCCCCTGTCCCTGGGAGAGTCTCAGTGGGTCCCGCTTACCCTAGGAGGGTCCCCAGGGGCACTGTCACACCTGGAAAGGTACTGCGGGCCTACACCGCCCCTGGGAGGGTCCTTAGTACAATCGTCGCTTCTGGGAGGGTTGCAGAGGCCCTGCCGCCCCTATGAGGGTTCCTGGGGCCCCCGCAATCCATGCAATGATTCCAGGGGGGGCCGCCGTCCATGGGAGGGTCCAATGAGTCCCAGCCGCCTTTGGAAGGGTCACCGACGCACCTGGAGGGTCCCAGGGGGCATCACCTTATCTGGATAGGACCAACGTCCCTGGCTGCCTCTGGGTGGGTCCATGGGGCCTCTGCTGCCCCTGGGTGGGTCCCAAGTGGCCCTGGCCACTCCTAGGACGTTCCCGGTCGCACGTGGGTGGTTCCCTAAGAGCGTCAGCCCTATATGGTCTCTGGGGGCAGTTGTTTTTCTGTTATTTAGAGCGCTGGGAGATGCAACTACATCGCCCATCATCACATTTCCAGTATTATCGCATACTTAAAAACGGAATGGAGAATAATATCCAACAGGAAAACATAAGTTGGGGTGTTGTGCTGACTGACTGCTCTCTTTTCCTATTGGCTGTAATTTGGTGGGTAGATATTTTAGTCCACCAATCACATTTAAGGAACTGATGGACGTATAAAATATGTACCAAGGCACAACCAGGTATGCTATAGGGCCCCTGGAATGTCCCAAGGGCCCCCACCACCCCTAGGTTGTCCCAGGGCCCCCTCCCGTCCCTGGGAGTGTCTTAGCGGGTCCCGCCTACCCTGGGAGGGTCCCTAGGGGCGCGGTCACACCTGGAAAGGTACTGTGGGCCTCCACCGCCCCTGGGAGTATCCTTAGTACCCTCGCCGCTTCTGGGAGGGTTGCAGGGGCTCTGCCGCCCCTATGAGGGTTCCTGGGGCCCCCGCAATCCATGTGATGATTTCTGGGGGCGCTGCCGTCCCTGGGAGGGTCCAATGAGTCCAAGCCGCCCTTGGAAGGGTCCCCGATGCACCTGGGAGGGTCGCAGGGGGCACCACCTTACCTGGGTGAGAACCAGGTCACCAGCTGCCTCTGGGATTGGGTCCATGGGGCCTCTGCTGCCTCTGGGTGGGTCCCAATGGCCCCAACCACTACTTGGATGTTCCCTGCCGCACCTTGGAGGTTCCCTGAGAGCGCCAGCCCTGTATGGTCTCTGGGGGAACTTGTTTTTGTGTTATTTATAATGCTGGGAGATGCAAATACATCGCCCATCATCACATTTCCAGTATTATCGCATACTTAAAAACGGAATGGAGAATAATATCCAACAGGAAAACATAAGTTGGGGTGTTGTGCTGACTGACTGCTCTCTTCTCCTATTGGCTGTAATTTAGTGGGTAGATATTTTATTCCACCAATCACATTTAAGGAACTGATGGACGTATAAAATATGTACCAAGGCACGACCAGGTATGCTATAGGGCCCCTTGAAGTGTGGCCCCTGGAATGTCCCAAGGGCCCCCACTACCCCTAGGTGGTACCAGGGCCCCCTCCCGTCCCTAGCCGTGTCTTAGCGGGTCCCGCCGACCCTGGGAGGTTCCCTAGGGGCGCGGTCACACCTGGAAAGGTACTGTGGGCCTCCACCGCCCCTGGGAGTATCCTTAGTACCCTCGCCGTTTCTGGGAGGGTTGAAGGGGCCCTGCCGCCCCTATGAGGGTTCCTGGGGCCCCCGCAATCCATGTGATGATTTCAGGGGGCGCTGCCGTCCCTGGGAGGGTCCAATGAGTCCAAGCCGCCCTTGGAAGGGTCCCCGATGCACCTGGGAGGGTCGCAGGGGGCACAACCTTACCTGGGTGAGAACCAGGTCACCAGCTGCCTCTGGGATGGGTCCATGGGGCCTCTGCTGCCCTTGGGTGGGTCCCAATGGCCCCAGCCACTACTTGGATGTTCCCTGCCGCACCTTGGAGGTTCCCTGAGAGCGCCAGCCCTGTATGGTCTCTGGGGGAACTTGTTTTTGTGTTATTTATAACGCTGGGAGATGCAACTACATCGCCCATCATCACATTTCCAGTATTATCGCATACTTAAAAACGGAATGGAGAATAATATCCAACAGGAAAACATAAGTTGGGGTGTTGTGCTGACTGACTGCTCTCTTCTCCTATTGGCTGTAATTTGGTGGGTAGATATTTTAGTCCACCAATCACATTTAAGGAACTGATGGACGTATAAAATATATACCAAGGCACAACAAGGTATGCTATAGGGCCCCTGGACGTGCAGCCCCTGTAGTGTCCCAAGGAGCCCCACTGCTCCTGGAGGGTCTCAGGGCCCCCTCTCGTCCCTGGGAGTGTCTCAGTGGGTCCCGCCTACCCTAGGAGGGTCCCTAGGGGCGCTGTCACACCTGGAAAGGTACTGCGGGCCTCCACCGCCCCTGGGAGGGTCCTTAGTACAATCGTCGCTTCTCGGAGATGTTGCAAGGGCCCTGCCGCCCCTATGAGGTTTCCTGGGGCCCCCGCAATCCATGCGATGATTCAAGGGGAGGCCGCCGTCCATGGGAGGGTCCAATGAGTCCCAGCCGCCTTTGGAAGGGTCACCGACGCACCTGGAGGGTCCCAGGGGGCATCACCTTATCTGGATAGGACCAACGTCCCTGGCTGCCTCTGGGTGGGTCCATGGGGCCTCTGCTGCCCCTGGGTGGGTCCCAAGTGGCCCTGGCCACTCCTAAGAGGTTCCCTGTCGCACGTGGGTGGTTCCCTAAGAGCGTCAGCCCTATATGGTCTCTGGGGGCAGTTGTTTTTCTGTTATTTAGAGCGCTGGGAGATGCAACTACATCGCCCATCATCACATTTCCCGTATTATTGCATACTTAAAAACGGAATGGAGAATAATATCCAACAGGAAAACATAAGTTGGGGTGTTGTGCTGACTGACTGCTCTCTTCTCCTATTGGCTGTAATTTGGTGGGTAGATATTTTAGTCCACCAATCACATTTAAGGAACTGATGGACGTATAAAATATGTACCAAGGCACAACCAGGTATGCTATAGGGCCCCTGGAATGTCCCAAGGGCCCCCACCACCCCTAGGTTGTCCCATGGCCCCCTCCCGTCCCTGGGAGTGTCTTAGCGGGTCCCGCCTACCCTGGGCGGGTCCCTAGGGGCGCGGTCACACCTGGAAAGGTACTGTGGGCCTCCACCGCCCCTGGGAGTATCCTTAGTACCCTCGCCGCTTCTGGGAGGGTTGCAGGGGCTCTGCCGCCCCTATGAGGGTTCCTGGGGCCCCCGCAATCCATGTGATGATTTCAGGGGGCGCTGCCGTCCCTGGGAGGGTCCAATGAGTCCAAGCCGCCCTTGGAAGGGTCCCCGATGCACCTGGGAGGGTCGCAGGGGGCACCACCTTACCTGGGTGAGAACCAGGTCACCAGCTGCCTCTGGGATTGGGTCCATGGGGCCTCTGCTGCCCCTGGGTGGGTCCCAATGGCCCCAGCCACTACTTGGATGTTCCCTGCCGCACCTTGGAGGTTCCCTGAGAGCGCCAGCCCTGTATGGTCTCTGGGGGAACTTGTTTTTGTGTTATTTATAATGCTGGGAGATGCAAATACATGGCCATCATCACATTTCCAGTATTATCGCATACTTAAAAACGGAATGGAGAATAATATCCAACAGGAAAACATAAGTTGGGGTGTTGTGCTGACTGACTGCTCTCTTCTCCTATTGGCTGTAATTTGGTGGGTAGATATTTTAGTCCACCAATCACATTTAAGGAACTGATGGACGTATAAAATATATACCAAGGCACAACAAGGTATGCTATAGGGCCCCTGGACGTGCAGCCCCTGTAGTGTCCCAAGGAGCCCCACTGCTCCTGGAGGGTCTCAGGGCCCCCTCTCGTCCCTGGGAGTGTCTCAGTGGGTCCCGCCTACCCTAGGAGGGTCCCTAGGGGCGCTGTCACACCTGGAAAGGTACTGCGGGCCTCCACCGCCCCTGGGAGGGTCCTTACTACAATCGTCGCTTCTCGGAGATGTTGCAGGGGCCCTGCCGCCCCTATGAGGTTTCCTGGGGCCCCCGCAATCCATGCGATGATTCCAGTGGGGGCCGCCGTCCATGGGAGGGTCCAATGAGTCCCAGCCACCTTTGGAAGGGTCACCGACGCACTTGGAGGGTCCCAGGGGGCACCACCTTATCTGGATAAGACCAAGGTCCCTGGCTGCCTCTGGGTGGGTCCCTCGGGCCTCTACTGCCCCTAGGCGGGTCCCAAGTGGCTCCGGCCACTTCTAGGAGGTTCCCTGTCGCACGTGGGTGGTTCCCTAAGAGCGTCAGCCCTGTATGGTCTCTGGGGGCAGTTGTTTTTCTGTTATTTAGAGCGTTGGGAGATGCAACTACATCGCCCATCATCACATTTCCAGTATTATCGCATACTTAAAAACGGAATGGAGAATAATATCCAACAGGAAAACATAAGTTGGGGTGTTGTGCTGACTGACTGCTCTCTTCTCCTATTGGCTGTAATTTGGTGGGTAGATATTTTAGTCCACCAATCACATTTAAGGAACTGATGGACATATAAAATATGTACCAAGGCAAGACCAGGTATGCTATAGGGCCCCTTGAAGTGCGGCTCCTGGAATGTCCCAAGGGCCCTCATCACCCCTAGGTGGTCCCAGGGCCCCTCCCGTCCCTAGGCGTGTCTTAGCGGGTCCCGCCGACCCTGGGAGGGTCCCTAGGGGCGCTGTCACACCTGGAAAGGTACTGCGGGCCTCCACCGCCCCTGGGAGTATCCTTAGTACCCTCGCCGCTTCTGGGAGGGTAGCAGGGGCCCTGCCGCCCCTATGAAGGTTCCTGGGGTCCCCGCAATCCATGTGATGATTTCAGGGGGCGCTGCCGTCCCTGGGAGGGTCCAATGAGTCCCAACCGCCTTTGGAAGGGTCGCCGACGCACCTGGGAGGGTCGCAGGGGGGCACCACCTTACCTGGGTGAGAACCAGGTCACCAGCTGCCTCTGGGATGGGTCCCTGGGACCTCTGCTACCCCTGGGTGAGTCCCAAGGGCCCCAGCCACTCCTAGGATGTTCCCTGCCGCACCTTGGAGGTTCCCTGAGAGCGCCAGCCCTGTATGGTCTCTGGGAGCAGTTGTTTTTGTGTTATTTATAATGCTGGGAGATGCAACTACATCGCCATTTTCACATTTCCAGAATTATAGCATCCTTAACAACGGAATGGAGAATAATATCCAACAGGAAAACATAAGTTGGGGTGTTGTGCTGACTGACTGCTCTCTTTTCCTATTGGCTGTAATTTGGTGGGTAGATATTTTAGTCCACCAATCACATTTAAGGAACTGATGGACGTATAAAATATATACCTAGGCACAACCAGGTATGCTACAGGGTCCCTGGACATGCAGCCCCTGTAGTGTCCCAAGGGGCCCCACTGCTCCTGGAGGGTCCCAGGGCCCCCTCCCGTCCCTGGGAGTGTCTCAGTGGGTCCCGCCTACCCTAGGAGGGTCCCAAGTGGCGCTGTCACACCTGGAAAGGTACTGCGGGCCTCCACCACCCCTGGGAGGGTCCTTAGTACAATCGTCGCTTCTCGGAGGGTTGCAGAGGCCCTGCCGCCCCTATGAGGGTTCCTGGGGCCCCCGCAATCCATGCAATGATTCTAGGGGGGGCCGACGTCCATGGGAGGGTCCAATGAGTCCCACCCGCCTTTGGAAGGGTCATTTACGTACCTGGAGGGTCCCAGGGGGCACCACCTTATCTGGATAGGATCCACGTTCTTGGCTGCCTCTGGGTGGGTCCTGGGGCCTCTACTGCCCCTGGGTCGGTCCCAAGTGGCTCCGGCCACTTCTAGGAGGTTCCCTGTTGCACGTGGGTGGTTTCCTAAGAGCGTCAGCCCTGTATGGTCTCTGGGGGCAGTTGTTTTTCTGTTATTTAGAGCGTTGGGAGATGCAACTACATCGCCCATCATCACATTTCCAGTATTATCGCATACTTAAAAACGGAATGGAGAATAATATCCAACAGGAAAACATAAGTTGGGGTGTTGTGCTGACTGACTGCTCTCTTCTCCTATTGGCTGTAATTTGGTGGGTAGATATTTTAGTCCACCAATCACATTTAAGGACCTGATTGACATATAAAATATGTACCAAGGCACGACCAGGTATGCTATAGGGCCCCTTGAAGTGCGGCCACTGGAATGTCCCAAGGGCCCTCACCACCCCTAGGTGGTCCCAGGGCCCCCTCCCGTCCCTAGCCGTGTCTTAGCGGGTCCCGCCGACCCTGGGAGGCTCCCTAGGGGCGCGGTCGCACCTGGAAAGGTACTGTGGGCCTCCACCGCCCCTGGGAGTATCCTTAGTACCCTCGCCGCTTCTGGGAGGGTTGCAGGGGCCCTGCCGCCCCTATGAAGGTTCCTCGGGCCCCCGCAATCCATGTGATGATTTCAGGGGGCGCTGCCGTCCCTGGGAGGGTCCAATGAGTCCAAGCCGCCCTTGGAAGGGTCCCCGATGCACATGGGAGGGTCGCAGGGGGCACCACCTTACCTGGGTGAGAACCAGGTCACCAGCTGCCTCTGGGATGGGTCCATGGGGCCTCTGCTGCCCCTGGGTGGGTCCCAATGGCCCCAGCCACTATTTGGATATTCCCTGCCGCACCTTGGAGGTTCCCTGAGAGCGCCAGCCCTGTATGGTCTCTGGGGGCAGTTGTTTTTCTGTTATTTAGAGCGTTGGGAGATGCAACTACATCGCCCATCATCACATTTCCAGTATTATCGCATACTTAACAACGGAATGGAGAATAATATCCAACAGGAAAACATAAGTTGGGGTGTTGTGCTGACTGACTGCTCTCTTCTCCTATTGGCTGTAATTTGGTGGGTAGATATTTTAGTCCACCAATCACATTTAAGGAACTGATGGACGTATAAAATATATACCTAGGCACAACCAGGTATGCTATAGAGCCCCTGGACGTGCAGCCCCTGTAGTGTGCCAAGGGGCCCCACTGCTCCTGGAGGGTCCTAGGGCCCCCTCTCGTCCCTAGGAGTGTCTCAGTGGGTCCCGCCTACCCAAGGAGGGTCCCTAGGGGCGCTGTCACACCTGGAAAGGTACTGCGGGCCTCCACCGCCCCTGGGAGGGTCCTTAGTACAATCGTCGCTTCTCGGAGGTGTTGCAAGGGCCCTGCCGCCCCTATGAGGTTTCCTGGGGCCCC